GTGGTGGAGCGGGGCGGAGGGGAAGGGGCGCGCGGTCGTCACTCGCCACCAGTCGCAGCCGCTCTGATCACCCGCAAACGCACCGCGCGCTCTGCCGTTCACATCGGTTACCCGGTGTAATTGGAAAACAGATCGGCGGCGCCCGCCGCCCGCGGCTCAGCCGTCTTAGGCAACGCTCCCGTGGGATCCGGGAGCCGTTTAGTTCAATGGAGAGCGAATTCTGCCGGTGTATTGAATGGAATTTGGAAATATAGGGAGAGAAAATCGAGTCTGATTGGCACCAGTTATTGTTTTATTATTTTTTTTTGCGCATCTCCGGATTAGTTACGACAAGTTTGATTGTATCTATGAAAATAACACTTATTGGGCTATCTTCCCGTTCAATTTTTATTCGTGAATTTTTCCACCGTCGAATATTTGAGAGCGTTAAATGTCATCAATTAAAGATATGCCAAACAACCCCACTTATGGGGTTACCAATTACTACATCTAACACGTTGTGCAGTCAGAATACACGTTTTGTGGGTCATTGATACCGGAAATTGGTTCACGGCAAAACGCCTGACTGTCTGTAATGTTCCAATCTTTTTATCTGAAGTCAACGCTGAATTCTAAATCGTGAGATCGTTTTCTGCAAAACTGCTATTGAACATTATTGATTGATTTTGAAAATGTCGTTGGTGTTTCATGTAAGAACCCTCTGAAAAAAAGAAAAAAAATATTCGTTTCAAATTTAAGGCTGCGTCATCACTCAGATCGATCAGGATACATTCGTTTTTGGTAATAATCCTACAGGTTTACAGTTTAGGTGCTGGTGTTGTTAACAGACGGACTGGCAGACGAACGGACAAAGAAACGGACAGACGTAGTAAAATAATTCGGTGTTAAGGTCCCACAAGCGTAGATTCTGAGTACACAATGCTTTAGATTAAGCATTATCTTACATACAGGAACACGAATTATCCAAATTTTTATTAAAGATCTAGAATACTAATTTTACTGAATAATGTCTGCCGTTTTCGTCACAACATTACAAAACTTTCTCTACGTCATTAGTATGCGAAAAAAATAAAAATAATATCCTGAGAGAAGCAGTTTTATACCTTGCGGCGTGACCGTTTATGAAAGTATCAGATGTGGATTCAAGTTTCATTTTAACAAATTTCGCATTTCTAGTGCCAAATTTAGGTTAATTCTTCAAGTCTGAGAAGTAGAGTCTTGAGTTTGCGTCAAACTGTTACAAAAAGCTCAAATAATACTGAAGTCTAAATAATGCAAATTTCCAGGTTTTATTATTTACCGTACGAAACTCTCAATTACACTACTAAGCACTGAAGTAACTTTAAACAATTCCGTGCTCTCTGCCTAGCGCATTAACGTGACGTAGTCTACATCAGATTACCCGCTGACATGTTAATTACCATTTGGTCAATGAGCTTGGAAAATTCGAATAATGTTGAAATATATCACGTCCTTCCACATAAAATACATTAAATGTGAAGCACTTCATTAAAGGGAGACAAATCGTGATTTAGCGTCCTGACAAATACGAGAGCGTAGTAGTTTATAATGTTGCTGTGCTGAATTAATCAATCCAGAATATTTTAATGTTTATATTAAAAATACGAATTATAGGACCTTCGAGAAATGAATTCATGGAAATAACTAATCAAACCACGTTGGGTATAAATTATAAATTAGTCAATCGGCACATTTTGAGCGAATATAAAGAAAATACAAATCGTGGAACCCACGAGAAATGGAAATATGGAAATGTCGGGAAGAAAATTGCCCGTACAACGTCGAGCAGAAGCTCCGACTGCGCAGAGCAACAAAACGAGATTCCTGTCGCGTTTTGTTCGAACAAAACGGCGCGTGCGGTCAGCGAAGACAATGGCTCGGGCTCGACGCACAAAAGCCCTGACCGCACGCGACCGGCCTGGGAGGCGGCCAGTGCCAGCCGAGGGTAAGGGGCAAGGGCGGCCACGAAAGGGCAGGAGCGGGCTTGTAGACTTTTCCACTTTCGCGAATATACAAGTTGTACATTCTAGAACGTTTAGCGCTTGGTATCAGAAGTCACAGAGATAAAAAAAACATAATATTTTTCTACTCATTAATTAGATCGCTGGTGAGGTAGATACCTTTTTATTATGATAAATAAATAAAGATATTGTCTGGTATCAATACTTTTTTTTTACTTTTTATATTTTTTATACATTTTAAGCTGAATGAAAGTATTGATACCAGACAATATCTTTATTTATTTATCATTTTTCTACTCATTTCTATAATTCTGTCATTTGATAGCTGCAACCCGTAGCATAATGATCCCCGTAACGATACAGATTTCATTATGATACAGCTTCTTTACAAATTTCGGAGAAGTTTACAAACAAAATACTGACACTTGATTAATCATTGAAAATTGTTCTAGTAAATGTTTCGTTCGATTGGATACATTGGGTTTTTATATTATGTTTATCAGTTTTATTCATTTTTATTAATAATTTTATTTGGAATAATATTTAAAATAAATTGGATCGTAATTTCACTTTGATCCTCTTTGACTAGCACAGGAGTAAGCCAATGATACACGTGTCGGGTAGTGTAGGGTAGGATAGGAAGCCGTTCTCTTGGTGTTCTTGGCTTAATCCTGCATGTCAGATGCCAAGAAACGATTCAGAGTAATAGTTTAACTTAGAGAAGTGATCATAATTCTTAGAAAAAGTACCGTATGAAACTTAATGAACTGAGTACACTCTTGTAAAGTTTACGATACTTGCTCGTTCCTCGCTCGTATCGTAATATCATTGTGTAGTAATACCTATCATTACATCATCTTTTCTTAATGTACAATTTTAAATGTTAGGTAAATCCAAGATGTTTCCTCTTAAGTATATATGAAGACTATTGTCCAGCAAGTTAATTGATAATTGAGTAATGTGTCGTTCAATATATTGTGGTATAGTTGGCTTCTCTTGATGATTACATAATGCGGCTGAGTTTTGGCGAGGTCTTTGTTAAGCTCCTGTGTCTTGTTGCAGAAGTACTTCTACTCATTTCTTTTGTTGTTGTTTCTTATTTCGTTTGTTTTGTCTTGTTTCGTTTGTTGAATAACGAACGTTCCACTCTAGGGGTGGCCAGTGGCGGGCAAGTACAAAAACATGAAGTGACGAGGGCGGTGCGAAAATACAGGACTCTAGGTGAGAAGCCAATAGGCCTGATGACTGCGAGCGGACAAGTAGGTGACAGGGGAAGAAGACTGCTGGGCGGGCGAGTGGGCGGGCGGAGTGGTCGGGCGAGTGGTCGGCGAGTGGGCGGGCGAGTGGCGGGCGAGTGGGCGGGCGATGGGCGGGCAGTTGGGCGGGCAGTGGGCGGGCACGTGGGGCCGGGCAAGTGGGCGGGGCATGTGGGCGGGTGATGGGCGGGGAAGTGGTGGGCGAGCGGCGAGGTGAAGCGAAGAAGCAAATGACGTTGCAACAGGCAAGCAAACAGCATAAGAGAGGAGAGTTGTGCAGTAGAAAAGAGTGGGGATGAGAATGATGCGAAACTAAGAGGATAGACGGCCATCAAAAGGGGTAAGAGAAGTGTAAGAGAATGTGTCAGGTCGGGGAGAGAACGGCGGAACCATATGAGAGGTACAGGAGAGGACACGGAGGACAGTACTCTCGCGGACAAATTGTTATTTAAACACACATTCGTTAGGTATCGCATTATTTCTACCATTCTGAGACTGTCCTGAGATTTGTTTCGACTTTTAGACCGGTTTTTTTTACATCATTTAATTACCAAAGTAAAACACAACACAAAAAAAAACTTCGGATGAAGTATTTTATTAAACGTATCTTAATTTGCAAGCTTTTTATATCGCTCTTTCAACGTTATTCCTCTTCTGTAGATTCTTAAGTAATTTCATATTCTGAAAACTATTTCTCTCTATGTACAAAAAGTTCCTCTCCTCTCTTCTTTAACGCGAAAGATGTACGCCTTGTCATGACAGAGATTAAGGGGAAAGAACATGAATGCATTGAATTGAATTGAATGCCTTATCTTACGGTGCGAGACTCATAGTCGTGAGGCCTGCACTCCTTCGTCAAACAATGCAAAGTTGGCTCAGAAGCTTCATTTAGTTTGGAGGATTCATTTTACATGCATAAGAAATACTACTAACATGGGACAGAATAGGTTTACTCCCTCTAGCGGACGACAGCAATTTTTTCGTTAAGAATCTCGGCTTCGATTCGGGTATTTGAAGCCTGGAACTTTTGTATAATAGCCGACACGCTCGCCGATTTACCCACCCAGAGAGGGGGTCGGTCTTTGGGCCAGGGTCTGTTCGTGGAACTTGCGGGACAACACGAGAGTCAAGAGGGGGACGGCGCAGAGTCGCGTGTAAAAGGCTGCAATCGTTACAGCGGGGGGGGGCAGCGTGTGCTGGTCTGTCGCGGTGCTGCGAACAGAGATGTATTGCTGACGTCGCGTTAACCTAAGCCGCTCGCGGGCGCGTGCTCCGCCAGATCCGATCGCTCGCCTATGCGGCTGCAACTTGCGGTGGGCGGTGCGTGCGTGGCGGTGCTGGTGGCGTGGCGGTGCGGTGGGCGTGGCGGTGGGTGGGTGCGGAGGCGTGCGGTGGCGGGTGGAAGAGCGGTAGTGTCGTCGGAGGCGAGGCGTGGCAGGTGGCGCTTACTCGTCGAGAGCAGCGGAGGGATTTCATGTAAACGTACAATGGTTGTACTACATTTTTCTTGCCTGTCATATCGCTAAGCGATCAATCATCAAGTCATTTATCAACCGTTATTTCATTTGATGTTTGTTTATATCGAGGTCCATTGAAATTCAGAGACTTGAAGGAGTTGGTGATCTAATTAGTAGTAGCGAGAATGACGTCAGAGAGGGAGCGAATTCGGAGAAGAGAAGTAATCTGAAGAAAACGTGAAGTATTTGATTTGGACTATACACGTGGCTGATCGTTATCGCAAGTAGCTTCAGGCCGGAACACATTGTGCCGGCATATATCCTTGTTCAGTTGAAATTATAAGTTTGCATGGGATGGCTATTGTTTGGTTTGGTTACAGTTGGGCTTGGATTGAGTTAAGGTTGGGTTGAGTTTTAAATTAGGGTCGGTTGTCGGGTCGGGTCGGGTCGGTTGGTCGGTCGGAGTGGGTATGAGGTCGGACTGGCAGGGCGGGAGTGTCGTGGGTGTCGAGTTGGGTCATGGTAGATTGGGGTGAAGTTGGGTCGGGGCGTTGGGGTGGATTTGGAGTGGTCGGGAGTTGGGGTCGGGTTGGTGGGTGCGAGTTGGGGGAGGTCGGAGTTGGGGTGGAGTGGGGTCGGAGTTGGGGTCGGGAGTTGGGGGTCGGAGTTGGGGTCGAGTTGGGGTCGGAGATTGGGGTCGGAGCTTGGAGGTCGGGTTGGGGTCGGAGTTGGGGTTGGAAGTTGGGGTGGACGTTGGGGTTGGGATGGTTG